GTTTGTGGTATATTCAAGTCTTAGTACACTTCCTTGATTTGGGTTTGATCCAGGACGTCGGACTATAAAATGTAAGGAACAGCCAGTGTATGTAGAGGACTTAAAGTACTAAACATTCACACATTTCTAAATCAAAATGGGCTTCATACAACCAGTATGGCTCAAATCACTGAAGACATATTGGAATGAGCAGTTGTGCAGAACAGAAGGTTAACATGTCCAGAAGCAAAATATAGGGATTTGAATAGCTGAGTATACTGTTTTATGAATGGTTGATGTTTAACAGTGAAGATAAATTGTTTGAAACTAAGGTAAATTCCATCCCTGGCATAAGATTCAACAAGCTGTCATTCTACCTTATTCTTAAAAGGGGAGGGGAAGAGGAAGGCATGCATGATGACATAACTTTTTGAAAGTGCACTTGGAGGTTACTTCTTGCTTAAAATTGTAGGGTTTGATCATTGATGGTTTGTGACTCAAGCTTTTTGCTCAATTATGAACTGTCAATTGCAAGAACACAAGGTCTAGAAGTCAAAGCAGTAGAGTTGTGTCTATGCACGGCAGACTTGCAGCAATTGGAGAATCTGGTCATAATGAGTAAAGATGTAGACTTGATGAAACAGGATTTCTGTCCCCAGTAGCAGCTGTAAAGGAAAAGTTAGTCAGAGCTCTTCCCCTTGGTGTCACTCTGCTGCAAGGTGTCTTGTGTTGATTGGTTTCAATCATTCAACGATTATGTCCAGAGTGTAAGATTTAGTAAAATGGCTTAATTCTAAGTTTTTTTCTTCTTTGTGTGGATGCATCACTTGGGAGATCTTACATACAGTTTCTCCTTGGCAAATGAACATAATACTCAATGAGGCTTATCATTTTCATATATAGACTTAAAACGTGACATTCTTGTACAATATGTGCACATAATCTTTTTCAATGGATGCTGACTTTGTTTTAAGCATTACTATTTAATTAGCTTGTTAGCATGATTCACCTCAGATTATTATGGGTTACAAAGTGGCAGGCTGTGGCCTCGTGATATGACAGCGATGAGAAGCTGCTGTTATAGTCTGCCGAACAGAGACACATTTAAAGACCTCAAGTATAAAGACAGAGAATAATGTAGTCCATTACATCTACCGGTACATTTTTATTACTCTTGCATGTTAGCTGACCCCTCCTTTTTGACCACTTTTTGAATAATTATTTATTATTAACATGAATTTTCATGATTAATGTAGAGTTGCTATCAATATTTTGTTGATTGCAAATTGTGCATGAAATACTTCCGTGTGAAGGAAGTTTATACAATTTTGTATAGAAAGTACTTGTTTCTAACTAGGAATAAAAATGTATTCATTATCCAGACATTTATTTCCTCGTTTCTGGTTTCGTCACTTCAGTACTTGGCAGAATCTTCAGCCCACAGCACGGAAAGGGTTCAAACTCCCTGCACTATTACCAGATTGTTATCAAATTATTGATGAAACTTCAGAAAGATGACATCTTTACTTAATTAAAAAGATAGCACTGTCCCTCAAATAACTTTTAATGTATAACCTATTCTTCCTCTAATTGTTGATACTTGATAGGCCTATAAGCTATATACAGTAGGGAAAGTGAGAATGCTGGTCTGGTCTGTTCAACAAATGACAATCACAAACTAAAATGTATAGAAAATTAGAAAGCCTTTATTTCATTGACAGCTGACATTGTCTTGATAAGATGAATTGGCAAGGCTTGAAATTTACACTGTTTGTTCAACAAATATCACCCAGGTATGCTTATTTCTTATTCCTCAACATGCAGTTAACATGATTTTTCAATAATACAGTTATACTGTACACATTAGTTCTGTGTGGCACAAACAGATTACAGGTGTATGTACATGTATATGTTACACTTGTCTTGTCAGGAATATTTGTGATGTAATTCGTCATATACAGGTTGAGTTCAATATCTGACTGATTAAATCACTTATTGGTTAAATGTGTTATCAGACAGTTCAGTGTATTACCTGCAATCTACATATACATAAACCTGACTACAAATTGATTTTCCCCAGGTTGATTGCAAGTGAATACTTCCAATATATAAATATATGGAAATTTTGTTCTGTTTAGGTTGGGTTTTGTTATGTTTTAAATTGTTTGGTTGTTTGCTGGAATTGTGATTATTCTACGTACGTAATACCTACATGTACATACAGTATCACATAGACAGGTGTACCATATAGGCTTCCATGATTGTATGATTTTTTTTTTAACATTAATATTTTCATCTGGTAAGGTGTCATCTGCCTTCTTTCTCCTGCTGCTGAGACCATAGTGGTCTGGTTTATTTTGTTTGTTGCCTTGGAAATTGTTGCAGCTCTGTGCTGATTGTTTTATAAAAATCTAGGATAACAGCATGGGTATGTATCAGGTGACATGTGGCTGTTGTTTTTTGTACAAACATTTGTGTTTGTATTCAACCACATTGCCTACATGTAGGTTGCTGTGCTCATGTAACATAATCATGAAGTATGTAGTCCAACATGGTGATATATGTTGTGATTTCATGCAGTCCAGCTAATGAAGGCAACCCACTTGAATTCAAATTCAGCTTCCCAGGCATGTGCATGAATCTCCATTGTTTTTTGGCTACAGATTCAAATTTCATCTGAACTACATACATACTGTACATACAGTACATGTAGGAGTATTGGGTGATGTGTATATTGTGTATTGAGTCTGATTGTCAGCTAAGTCTCAAATTATATGAGATTGTTTTGTTTTGTCTTCTATGTCTTTAAAACAAACAAAACGTTCTACATCTTTATGCTGCCTTGAAATAGCACCTGAGTACCCCCAAAGATACACGTAGGCCTACATTACATGTGAGCCTACTCTCAATGTCTGTTTCACTTTTGTTCTGCCATCAGTAATGATGAATAGCTCTCTAATGTCTGGCCAGATAATCAATTTCATGAATGAAAATTGTAAATGTATACATGGATTTAAAGGAGTGGCAATATTTCATCAAAAATGTTACAAACAGGACACTGTGACTACAAAGCAAATCCAATTCACCCATATTTGCATGCACCGTTTTGTGTAAATAAAATGTATGTGATACAATCAAAGAAGGAAGGCCAGACATCTTTGCTCCATGTTTACATAATCACTTATTCTATTCAAAGTTTCAAACCTTGTTTGGCTATGTGCAGTTCAATGGTTATCTATAGGGGCATTCACACTGTAAGCAAATACCCTGGATTTTTTCTCACTTTCCAGAGTTTTGTCACAAATTGCTAGGAAACTAGCCCAAAACTTGACAAAAAAACCTGAATTGAAAACAAAACCTCTTGAGTGTTTTGTTAGAACTCTGGCCAAAACTCTGCAAGTTTTTGCAGTGTAACACTTTTGAATTTTGCTCATGTGACTCTTCTCAATTCTCTGCTGTTGCATGCAGAGCAGGGACAAGTTCGCGGATGCACATTGCGCACTACTCGCCAAAACACCATCAATATTTATATGGGTTTTCCAGTGGTGTAAAAGGAAGTTTTAAAAGTCCCAGTGATTTTCAAATTGATTTTTTGGTAGTGTAAATGAGCTTATTGTGATCTCAAATATATCACAAAAGGATTGTCTGGATCTTCTGTTTATTTTGTGAGTCATATCATTGGTGAATTGCATGTACATCTGTGATCAGTGTATTAAAAAATGAAGAAAAAACCCTGCTTTGTCCCTTTGATTTGCTGAATAAGAGATTTGATGGGTTTGAACTGATTGGAATTTGTCTCCTTGCATGGTGTGAAGGAAAAGATTTACTTTGACACTCAGGAAGTGAAAACACAATCAATTTCATTCATCAAAAGTTACACCCATGGTCCCATGCTATACCTAGTCTAAATGCACAGACTGTTGTCAGTCGTAGTGTGTAGCAGAGGGTCTGAACTGCAAGACTATGAAAACTGCATGGTGATGTGTGTATTGTGTTTTTACAGACGTGTGTCAATCAGATATGATTATTTACGTCTGGGGACCGACCTTTAAACGTCACCATCCGAAAGACGTGACTCAGTTTCGAACCTGCGTCCTCGGCTGAATCAGTTTGTAACTTCCACTGTTAGCTTGATTACAGGCGCACACCACAACGCCACAAAGGTGTGTGTGTGTATTGGGTTTTTACAGACGTGTGTCAATCAGATATGATTATTTACGTCTGGGGACCGACCTTTAAACATCACCATCCGAAAGACATGACTCAGTTTCGAACCTGCGTCCTCGGCTGAATCAGTTTGTAACTTCCACCTTTAGCTGGATTACAGGCGCACGTCACAATGCCTAGTTCTACTTTACTCCATTACCCTTGCACTAAGGCTGCTACTGACATGTAGCAAATACTGATAGTGTTGGGCTAGGCTCATGACTCTATGAGAAATTGAGTTAATGTCAAATGAGAGTCTGTACTTGCAAACTAGGCTGTATCATTGAAATGATTATAAGGCTTATTTGTTTTGACACTCAGATTCTTTCTTGCACTTTGCAGAAAGTTAGTAGTATACAAATTTTTGATGCCGTTATATTTTTATTTTACTTACCGTGATGACCTGCATGTCATCAATGGTCACTTAATTTGATTTCCCATTTTGTTATTTCGGCCTCGCATTTTTGCTGACTGTCATTCAAAAATACAAACACTAGAAAGCTTTATATTCGTCACCTGAATACCGGTATGCTTATGTAAGGTCACTTTAGTAAACGTTCATGTACTGTATGCCTAGACGTTATACATAAATGTATAGCCTCTGTGTATCTTGGATTGTATTCAATCTGACATTTATTACAGCTTTCTCAAAGCTCAGACATTACCATTTCCGAACCTACAATGTAAACAATGATACAGTGTATGTTTTTTTTCTGCAAAAAATTCCCCACTTACTGGTATGGATGAAATTTGCCCCGCATGACTGGAAGTATGCCAGTCGCTTTTTTAGGGGGGGGGGGGCGGCATCACCCTGTACTTAAAGAATCATACCTGAATGAATAATCTTGCCCATGGTCAGAGAAAAAGGGTTACTGACCTCAATCGTTTAGGGATTAATAGGGGTCAGGAAGTTTGTGGTCAAGTAATCCCTTAATTGATTTTATGATGCTGGGGGTCATAGAAATCAGTAAAACCAGAAGATGAGATCTTCAATCCTCATTAGTAATTATGTTTTATATAGGTCTAATCGGTCTGTTTCAGGAAATTATTGTTTTGAAAATGATATTTGAACTATACGTACCGGTATTCAAACTCAATTGTGAAGTATCGTGATGCATGATTATTACAAAGATTTTATTTTCCTGTAGGGCCTTATAGTAATTTTTTTAAATGGAGCCTTGCATGTAAAGATAACATCCTTGTAAATAAGCCATTTCTTATTGGTGTATAATATTGTGTGATTGTTTCAACTTAATTAGAGTGTGTTGTCAAGTAGTAAACGAGGCCCCCATAAATTATAACCAACCTGTTAATGATATTAACTCTGTGTATGATGTCAATCATGATTGATGAATGTGTGAGGGAGGGAAAGATTATAGCATATGAATCATTTGTATAACCTTGTACTATGGTTTTCATTTGTTTCCTGATCCGGCATACACATGCGGGCTCTGTGGGCAATTTCAGATTGTCTATTAGACCTCCCTATTTTGTTCATCAGATCTGTTGTGTGGTTTGGTTTGATGCTTTTACCCCTATAACCGTGCCACTGGTTATTTATAAACAGGGAAGGCGTGAGACATGAGTCAGCGACATGCATAGGCAACAAGCATGTGTTGACTTTCTCTAGAGGCATGCGGTCGTTTTGAAAGCCTAGTGTGCGTTATAGTGTGTATATGCATGGGCCGCCTCCTGTAAGCAATAATATGAAGATGAGCTACTTGGTGTTCTACCCTGAGAATATATATCCTTTTCTTGTCGCCTCTTCTCGGACACACCGTGCCGTTCTGCGGCTAGTTTCCTTCCTGGGGCTGGGGATGGGAAGTGACAATCACGATCTAGCCAGTCAAGAGGCTCGAGTCAAATCAGATACAAGAATGGGATAGGACTCTACTAGAAAGAGAGACATTCTAGCCATTTTTGCTATCCATAGTGAGCTTGCCTGTTAGCGGCTTTTGCGAACACACTCTGCAAGTGAAACCGTAACCAACTGGTTGGAATTTATCCGTGGAGACTTGACAGAGGGACTACTACTCTATACACACTCACACACATCCCACAGTCGGTCTGTCCGCATGGGTTGATCTTCTGGTTGGAATATTATTAGCCTCGTCTTGGTTTTGGATTTTGCTGGTGACCTACATCCTGGTAGTGTGTATGTATGGAATATACATGAACCGGCATCAATATTAGATAGATATTGGATATGTGAGTAAGGAGCCTGCTCAGCCTGGCTTTTCTATTTTCTTTTCCATCTGTGAGTTCCTCTTGAATGTTTTATCAGTCAACAAAATCAGAGTCGTTGCATTTCTATGTAGCAGTAATTCCACAGCCAGAGTGTAGGACATTGTTAATTATCTAATTGTGCATTTATTTTAGTTGGTGGACATGTTTTTCATATTGTGAAATTGGTTCATTCTTGATCATAACTACATGGAAAACAATTTTATACCACCCAGTATATTTTCTATGTGTAATACTAATAGGCTGACATATTTGAAGGTCCATCATATACAAATATTGAACACTTTCTTAAGGGAACATTTCAAAACTGCATAAACTGGCTAATAGAATTATAAGTCTTGGAGACTGCCTTTTAAAATCTAAAATAATTTGTTTCCCCTAACTATCTCCTTCACATGTAAATTGTCATTACAGCAAATCATAAGTGCATTCATTTGTAAATTATCATTATGAGTTCACATGCAGAGCATGTAAGCATAAAAACATGTACACTTTAACATGTGGAGATACATTTAGAAGACATACATGTAAAATTACATGAATACATTCTTCAGGAACATATTTGTAATCAAAGTTCTTGAACATCAGTTAAATTCAAAGCTAGAGGTCAGTGATCCCTTTCTAATCCCCCCTCGTATTTTCAGAAGTTTTAAATGAGAAGGGGGAATACCCCCACAGACCTCCTCCGCATTCACCCGCCCCCATGGGCATGACATCAATAAGTTGTTTGCTCGTCATCCATTCACGTGTGCATCAAAACGCCATTCAAACGGCGATGACTCACTCGTCTCCATAGGCCTACGAGTGGAGTGTTCAGGTTCGTAAGGTCTGGCTTCTCGTGGGGCGACCCACCAGGTGGAAAGATAGAACCTGCAATGTTGGATTCGGCTGAATTATTTATGGGATGTTTGGTTCTCACGCTCGTCTGGCCACAGGTTTGCTAGCTTCATGAATAACATGGATTGCAGGAGTGGTGCAAGGGAATTCAGATTCTGTTTATAGGTATTGCAGATGTTATGCCGAAATAATCAATGATTTGAGATTATTTTCCACTTCGCTGATTGCAGAGTTTGTAAGTACGGTAATTATGGTTTTTACAAGGGTGATGTACATGATGGGTATTTAATCACTGTTATCTTTATTCAACTGTTGATCGTTTCGTTATTGAATTCATGAGAACTTACAACAAAGTCATTATTGGTATATTTGTTAAGCTATGATTTGTGTGCTGAATTGTGCTACAATTACAAGTGTTGTGCAGGGCTGGTATAGTGCAATATATCAGTGACATTGGACGCATGCCAAAGACAAATAGCAATTACCAAGCCTGTCATGCCTTTCAAGAATTACTCAGAATTCAGGGAATGTTTTATCATACTTTACACTACTTCTGAGAAATTACCACATATTGTGTTCACCTGTTTAAAGGCCAAAACTGAAGTGATAAAATGAATTAGATCAGCAACATTTGGTTTGCTAAATTTACTGTAAATGTAGTTTAATTTATTTTGATTAGCCATGCAAGGAATGCACATTTTGAAAAAACAAAAGCCTTACATGTGGGCTACATGTATGTTTAGCAGCACACATTCCCTGCTGTATACATGTATGTATTTGAGTTGTGTAAAATAGACCGGTTTACTATAAACATATTCAAATTTATGGATGTATCTTTTCTTGGAACCTATTGACGATTTATTCCTTGAACCTTTTATTGATAAAATCAACTACAGCTACAGTACTTGGGATCCAATCTTCATACATTACATGTTGCTATGTTTGGCACGACTCAGGCAAGCTTACAAGTTGTCAAGAATAAGCTTTGTATAAGAAGTGTGCGTGCAAATTTGAATGTGTTAGTAAAATGGTCTATAAATAATGGAAGACCTGTGTTTTGTATACAAATTACTGCACTGTGCTACTGGCACATAACAATAGCCTCATTTAGAAGACCCAGCTGTTATGTAATATTTGCACAGGCTCATATAACTGTCCTATTTATCCCTTTTATTTACAGTAATTGATTATCATGCACTAGAATTATGTAATGGGTAGTGGATAGTTTGCATGTACACTGTGCAAGAAGTAACAGCCTTTCTGAGCCCAAAATACACTGGATTGCCTCATCAAATCTTATTTTGTAAGAAGGTGATTACATTTTTATGTTAGAAATGTGTTGGTACCATCCTTTCACATACTTTTCTCACTGGCAAATCACTGATATCCATTCTTTTGAGAAGTGTGAAGAATTCATGTGTTGAGTAAAAACTATATTTAGCTTCATAAGCAGCTTTGAAAGAATTTGATGGACAGGTAGTCCTATTTCTCCATTTAAAACCTACAGTGTGAGTATTATGTCAGATAAATAACCTTCTTATGGGGAAAGTATGAGCTTTGACACAAATCCTTCAATCCTTCAAAGGATTATCCCTTTGCTAACTCCCATGCAAATTCAAATCTTGTCTGTATTGCGAATAAGATTATGCAGTTAGATTAAAGTTCTAACAGCTTATAATACATGTTATCAAGAAATCAAATCACTATGCGCCATTAAATCAAAATTATTCCACCATTGTCACTCAACAATAGCAATAAATCATATATACAATACTAGTCTACATTGCTGATTTTTCTTTTCACTTTTATTTCATTATTGTTCTATTGTCAAAGTAGTATTATCGGTGAGGTTATCTACAATGCATGCTCCTTGTGATAATAACTGAATTATCATCCCCCATTACATTTGCAGATATGAATCGCAGCATTTATAACAGTGAACTTTGAGTCTAATGTACCGGTAGGCTTTTATTGTGACCCTTTCTTTGTGCCGTACAGGTACAATGTACATATTATAAATCGATGAATCATTTTCAAAGGAATGTATTCTCTATAGTCTTCAGGTATTCAACATTATTTTATAATAAAGCAGCATCTACGTACATCTTACGCTATTAACCTTGAATAAACGAGGGAAAAATATGAATGGGTACTCAAATCAATACGAAAAAGATAGATTTCTCTATACGATCAACAGTTTTTGTAAACTGATTATGCTTCCTATTACCATAATTGCAATTTTTGCTGCCATTTTAAAAGGAACACATATATTCTGTAAGCAAATTGTAAGATTGGTGAGGCCTATGAATTTGATCATTTATGAAGTGGTTAAAAGGGAATAGGAGAGAGAATCAATAGGCATGATAATGATGATGATGACTTCTTGTGTATAGTATGTGCCTGCAAACCGGTATCCTCCTCTGCAGGGCATAGTGCTTGATGACCTACATTTTATCTCCTCATATCATAATATATCAATGAATCTGTTACAAATGCAATTCATTATCCATTCATCTCCTCAAATGGGACCATTTACTCTGAGCCCTGAACCTTTCAGTTCTGAGGGCAATCGACAATGAATTTGACCCCCTCCAAGTTGAGCATGGCTACCCTTCATTATATTTATTCTGAACAAGAATACACAGGCACACAAACACACCGTAGGTCTACAAAAATGCACCTGCATACATGTACCTGTAGATATAAGAATTGGGGGATTTAGGTCAACTTGTTGCTTTTGAAATATTAAAAATGAAATTGTATGAAATTGTTCCAGTTAAATCTTCAATTCTGGTAGTGGTATTCATTTAGAAAACACGTTCTCAGAAAAGTACCACAAAATACATGTTTATATGGAACCCCATGGTGAAAAAATTGATCAGGATTTCTGGATTGATTTTCTTATCCTTATCCTTGAATGATTTCTGCCAAACTAATGTGGCCTATGGAATTGTGGTTTTGAACATTTGTCTTGTATTCAACACCACCAACACTCAAAATAACATTTAATCTGCACAGATCAAATATTGCATATACTGTAACTGTATTGCATGTTACAATTTGATTTGAAGGTGGAGAAGTACACAACTTGTAGAGTGAGCTCTGTGTCTTTAATGGACAATAATGATATCATGAAATTCTGCATGTATCTGTTTGTCTAATTCCAAGACCCTTGCCTTGGTGGTAGATATGGTTTTACAAAGAAACTGGACATCTATTGTCCAGCATTCAACTGCTACTGTTTAGATAGGGGCTCAGCTGCTATTGTGTGATTGCCAATTTGAGCAAGTACTTCAGTCCCCAAAGCAATGCAGGTCAGAGGGGTTCCTTGCTATGATCACAGTTCGAGCTGGCAATCAAAACTCCCAAGGATCACAAATCTCTTGTGCTAAAAAGAAAAATGAAGAAGAAAAAGGGGGAAAATGCTTCCTTTTTTGCTGACCTGTATTTGAATAAGAACTGCAAGTTTCCCACAATCACTTTTTGACGAATACATATAGCACTTTCTTCAGCAACAATTGCTAACCAAAGTTATAAAGGCTGGCCACATAATTTCACCCATAACGATACCAATAAAATTGGTTTTTGTAGGAAAGGTATCAATTGGTTTTGCTTGAATACCAATTTTATGCTTATGAGCATTTTTCTTGGATCTAGTACCTTCGCCAAGAGGACCAAGTTTGTCATCGTAATTGACCAACTGTAACCCTAACCCTAAAACCTGATCACAACTTGCAACACAAGGCCTAACCATATCTATGACTATAAAATAAAGCTTGGGGCTAATGTCAGATCACCTAATGGTCTATCCCAGCAGACATGGTAGATAGGCAAGGCATTTTAGCAAATTACTTTGTGAAAGAAGAGTGAAGCTTGCTGTAGGAGACATTTTCTTAATTGGAGTTTCATGAGAGGTCAGTCAGTTGACAGAAACAGGAAAGGGCTTCCCTCGGGATGCTTGAAGATTACAGATGGTTTAGAAGTGAAAGAACCATGTCTTCTCTGAAGACTCGCTTATGGTGCATAATTGTGATAAGACTCTACATTCACTTGTCAGAGATATAAACATGCTAATCAAGCATCTCAATATGTTTCATTTCTGAAATATCTTACTTTGTATCTTCAAGAATGACAATTGGGCATAATCATTTCATTTATTCAGAGCCAGAAGGGCATTAACTGTGTAAGTACCTATATGAGTTAACACCCTTCTGGCTCCTAACAGAAGATTCGTCCTTTCATTACTGATATGTGGAACCATTCCTGAATTCTCATCGGACATCTGAATGTATTTTGCATCAATCTTTGTTTGTTATTGCTTTTAGTTTAGAAAGAAGAGTTGATTGAGAAGCAGATTCTTTGCCAGTTCAGAGTGCATTGTATCAAACTGCAGTTACATATCAGGTATATCTGACCTCCAGACTACCTTTCTCTTCCCTGGGATCCTGTGACAGGGTCGTGTGTGTGATCCGTTGACAGGTCCGGTCCGCTGCTCCTCGCAGCCCTTTCAGTGGTTGTCACCATTTAAAAGGCTGCTGAAATCAATAAACATTCCTTGGCCCACAGTTTGAGTTTCTGCATGAGTGCTCAAACTGTAAGCTAGACGTGTAGCAAGGAGGATGCTCCCAGAGAATAGAAAACACTGACAACAGTTGAGCAGAGCTGTGAATTGAAGTGCGAAGACGACTTGTATCATCTCAAGACCTTGTTGCCATTAGATTCCAGCAATGGGATCTTTCTGGAGTCTGTTTGGATACATCATCTGAAGCTACTCATTGTCAGCCTGTTGATATTGATGTAGGTTTGTCATGGATTGTTTCAGTAGAAGAGAAAGTGCATCATGTAGCAGATTTCTTGGTTGATTTGGTTTTGTTGCTGCGTGTATTGAACGCATTTGAATTCTCTCAGCTGTTGACATTATTGATTACCTGTAGTTTTGTTTGTGCCCTCCTGGTGTGTACTGTGGGAATTCAATACAAGATGGATGAAAGCCCATGCAAACATGCATAGTGTAACTCTACATGTAAATGTAGGTCTATTCATTGTATAAGTCTCCAGCGTTTGATAGACATGATAGAAATAGACACTCTGTCTGCTATTTGTCTTTGTAATACATAAATTTATGTATGTATTTCCGCAAACCTGTTTATTTTTATTAGATGATGTGCATACAAATCTTGATTACATTTATTTATTATGTGATGTCCATTTATTCTACATATAAGCAATGTTGCTTTTTATTCACTTAGACATTTTGTTATTAATCTCCTTTTTTTCTTCTTGTCTGAATACAGATATCCAACTGCAAAGATGATTTGTTGAAAGATCTGTGGAACATCGATAATCAGCAAGTACAGAGAGATTGTGTGACCAGAGAAGTAGAATGGCTCAACCCCCTCGGCGCGTCAAATCAGCAACAGAATCTCGAAGAAGAAACATGGAATCTTCTGCAAACGGGAATTCTGCTATCAATGGTGCAGCCTCCGGGAAGGCTGCCACATCTCCTTATAGCCAGTCAGTATCCAGTGTTTCTAAAGGGGGACATAGTAGTAGTGAGATTACAAGGCGAGTGTCGCAGAGGGACAAACCCGCAATTCCTGCGAAACCGTCACCAAGTAAAGTGCCACCTCCAAAATATAATGGCAAAAGTAATGGAACTTCTAATACTATGACTACATGTCATAGCAAAACTCAAAGTAGTTTAGCAGGTAGTGAAAAGCGAGAAGGAGAAAACAGGGTAAATGGTGTAAGCCAGGTTAAAAAGACTAATGATGTTAATGGAGAGGCAAGACCTCCCAGTGGTAAGAGTAGATACTGTCTTGAGATTACCTTAGAGAAGAAGGTATCAACCCCAACAGTTAGGAGAAAGCAGACCGACAGAGAGGTCGCTAACTCAATAGCTTCAAGCTCAGAAGAGAGCTCACCGTCACAATCACCTTCCAAGTCGGTACACTTTAAGAGTTCGCGAAGCAATAGTGCAAGTAGTATAGACTCTAGGGATAGGATGAGGTTTGGAGGCATACCAGGGAGCGTACCCCGCTATATGTGCCCTACCATCAGTAGTACAGACAAGACCCAACGAACCAAGTCTGCAACAAGTAAAACTGATTCAGGGATGATAGAGGCTAGTAGTGATACACAACTCAACGGATCTTCCACTGGCACTCCTGGAGTGGAGCCCATCAGAAGAGGGCGGGCGAGAAGCGTGGGACCGATACGCAGGGTACGTTCCAACGAGATGATGCCCCCTAAAAGGGATCTTAGTCCATCTCCAAAGTCTGGAAAAATCACTCAGGTTCGCAGCAAAAGTGTAGAGCGATCTAAGAATAGCTTTGGTAGCTTTGTGCAGCGGCAGAGAAAGGCTTGGGAAGAGCGAGTGACAACAGTGACCAGAAGAGCCCCACTGAGTAATGTGGCCGAAAAGAATGTGAACAGAAGGAGCTTAGATCCAAACCATGCTCCAAAGATCATGCAAAAGTCGACCAGCGTTACTCAACGTAAGCACATGCTGTTTGGTAAAGGAGCAAATGTACAGAAAGTAAAGACCACTATAGACGGTAACCAAGTGAATAAACCCACATCGCCCACCTCACTCCACAACAAGTCCGATGCTAGCCAACAAGTGCCTAAAACGAAATCTTCTAGCAATGACTCTGACTTGCGTACCTCTGCCAAGGCTGAAGTGAATGGACGAGTTGGAAGCAAAGGATATGCTCAGGGTGATAGTGTAGCTAGCTCTGATCAAAAGAGAACTTCCATTGTGGATAACCCACCTGATAAACCATCCGTCTTGCAGGAGATTGCTCCTGTACCAAGCAGCAAACCGAACGCTCCAAACAGTCTACCAGTCAAACCTGTTTATCAAAACACAGATCTAAGCCACAGGGTATCAACAGCAAAAGAAAACAAGATTGGAATGCTTGTAACTGATTTAGATGCACTGGATGTGAATGGTGCAGATGAAATGGACAATGGCAAGAGCCACTTGTTTATTGATGAGGGTAACCTGGGAATCAAACCCGAGTGTCTCAGATTCAAGCCTCAATCAAGCGATACCCAAGAAGAGTACAGTGAAATCCTGGGACTCACTGATCCCAAGGAAATTAACAAACTCAATAGCGAGACACTACATAGTCTAAAAAAAGTGGATAAAACATTTCTGGAGGTTGAGAAAAAGAAAGACACTGTGGTGGATAAAGTGAAAGAGCAAGAAAAGGCAGGAATCTGTAACGGAGAGGATGTAGGTGAAAAGGACGGACATTATTTCCTGAAGGTTGTCAACGTAGAGCAGTCCAGGATAGAATCACTCTGTAGGAAAGTGGAACATGACCTTGAGAGTGACATGTCTGATGAAGGTAGGTACTGCTTTATACTGTTTATCTATTGACAGATATTTACATGAACATGTATTACACATGAGGTGCAGTTGACTAGGTGTTGTATTCAGGTCCATCAATTAACAAATCTCTTTCAAAAGTTTCTTGCCAAGCAACTGGCTATTTTAAAAATCTGTGAAAAGTTTCAAGTCAATAAGTTTCTAGATTTACAGTAGTGCCTATATGGCTCACTCAGCAAACGATGTGAAACTTCACTCTATCCAGTGTACTTGCTGTATGTCTAAAAGTAAACTAATGTTTTCCTGTTTGCCAATGTACAAGATATATGTACCATGTGTGGTATGTCTGCTATGGTGCCACGTGGAAGGATATGTAACTCTGCTGATTCACGTTGTTATTAAAGGCCTACAGTGGGAGTCTAGAGTGGGAAACCATACTCATGATATAAACAGCCACACTAGTAATATACACAGCCACACTATGATAATTGAATTAACCACCAATGCCACCATCCTTGGTCTCATGCTTTATGCAACTACATGTAAGGTCAAGCATGATTTGATAATGATGATTAATATACTTGGCTTTTGGTCCTTTCAAATACAGTACAAGCATATGCCATACCCAAGTAAGTGTACGTTTGTGTAGAAAGGGATTTTTTATATATATATATATATATTGTATCTTTGAATTTGTAATTGTCTAACACCTGAAAACTGAATTTTTTAGAATAAAAGAATCACTATTGAGGCCTACCCGTCCAAATTATCCTTGTACAGAAAACATGTCTTTGTTTACTTACTCTTTTTTCATTACTGTGATGAGCAATTCTATTCATCTTTATTTAATTGAAATTTTATTTGAGTAGATTTACGAATACCTTATTCAGTGAATACTGAATATGTATTTGGTACTGTTTGAACATACTGTTTTCATTTTTCATGGTACATGCACATGTGCATATACTCATGACTAACTACACATTGTCGCAGGCTTTTGACATGCCTATAAGCAATATGGCAATAACGAGAATATTACATTTTGAAATAGAATCCATCATCATGTGCTGACGTTTGTTACAACATGCTGGGTCCATAGAATGTTATGCCTCCTAGCTATGTATTGACTTTCATTTCATTTTCGAGCTCTACTATATTGGCACAATTCTGTAGGTTGGATATCAGACGTCTGCCTACGTGTATTTTTGCTTTGAACATGAGATAAATAATGTTCCCTGATTTTGAAATGTGTTTTTTGTTACTTCTATACTAAGACAGTGTCATTATCTAGAATATATTTTGTATGTTTTTATGTTATACTTGTTCTAATTTAATTTAATTTAATTTTAGACGGTTGACTACATATAGTTGAATGGGCAAATATCACACACAGTCACTATATACAAATATACTGCACTGTGCATGGTTGCAATAGTGCATTACAATACTACTTGTTAAGACTAATGCAAACGGTTAGGTACATCACATTTAGAAGTGCATACAAATGGGTAGGATACATTATGCAAAATATACTGTCAAGCCCGTCATCCAAGTACACTGTACTTGTATAGAATAGGATTCTCATTTTGTATGCGAGCCCTTGCATGTCTATTACTGCAGTACTTTTTACGCAATAGGATACATACATCGTGGACATACATGATGGTTATACACAGACAATTATAAACTGTTTGTGAGCTAGATCATATCAACAGATTTGAATGCCAATTGATAAGAATTGCAAATATTTTAAATTAAATGCCATTTCTTTTGATTTCTTTACAGCGGGTGGAATATGCCGAGCATTCCTGGGGAAAGCCAACCTCTTGACCAGCAAGAAGTTCAAGCAGTTCAGAGGCTTATGTGAAGAGAATATTGTAAGAAAAACAAATGAGTTCATTGTACAGTGTGCATGTTTTCATATTTTCTATACTGAAATTGATTATGAAAAAGAATTCTCCATTGACCATAACAGGGAAAAAAATTAATATTTATTTGTCGGGGGCTACTTTTCAAGCTTGCCTGCATAAAAATAACACTCTAAAATTTGTTTTGCATTGAACTCTATGCAAGTTTACGGGGGCTCTTTTGGGCATTTCAGGGGCAAATTCGCCCTGAGCCCTGGTGTTTTTTTTTTAACTGGAGCATAACAAGTTTTCCAACAATTTATTTAAAAATCTAGAGTACTAGAATTCTAGTACAACCAAGCACAACCAATTACAGTTCTAAAACAGTATCCAAAAGGATCTTGTAGTCACAGTGTCATATGTTAATAAATCAATGAGGTTCAAAGGCAGTCTAACCTTCGTTAGCGACCACCTGTCTACAAAGATCACAATGTTTGTGCCCCTTGAAATTTATTTCTCATTGAAATGTGTATCAGATAAACCTGTGCATTAAGACCACCTGCTCATAAAGACCACTTGTGCCGTCTCAGCTGAGTGGTGTTTATACAGAAGTGTCACTGTAGCTTCATGTAGGACATCAAACTCAGTGATGGATTGATTTGACTGATAATCTGTCAGGTTTTGGTATTCATGAGAAAGAGAAAGTTGCTTTTGGATGGTTGCATCCGTTTATCATGGATCTTTTCTTTATCCGGAATTCAGATTGTCTGTATCCAGGAAGAGTTTCCTTGGAAAGGAAACATTATCGCAAGCAACAAAAGAATCTTTGGTGTCTGATTGCTGATCAAAAGATATCAGTCTTGTGTTTTTTTTTTGGAAGAGTTGAGAATAGGGGAATGTACATGTATGTAAAGGTCACTGCAATAGACTTTATAGACTAAATGGAAAATGGATTAGTTTTTTGCAGCAAAAAGTTAGATTTGGTTTCAAGGTTAGAAAAAAAAATCAAGATTGAAATCTAATTCATTTGAAAATCATTTTAGTTTTTGTTGATAAATTATACCTTTTAAAAAAAATAGATAAGTTCACACAATGAATAGAAGCAAAAGAAAAAGGAAATGTATCACTCATGAAAGTAATAAGTGCAGTCAAAGCTGCAACACTGGCCATCTGTCCATAAGGCTACCAGCCCATAGCAGTCCCCCATTTTGGGTCACTTCAGAAGGAATCATGTAGAACTAGTCAAGAAAGACTTTCTTTGGGTGGCCTAACTGGCCTTTGTAGACAGGATTAATTGTAGAACTGTTGGTTATTACTGTATTAAGTTTACATGTACTTTTCTGAAAGATAATGTGAGCAATATGAGTCCATGTTGTATAAATAGAAAGTACCTAATTGATGTTGTTAATGGTATCAGTGACGAGATAAACCATTCAATATTGATATTTTCTTTCCTTTATTATTTGTTGTAAACAGACACCATCTGATGAGCCAGGGAAGACGACCTTGGCATCTGACCTAGCAGGCTTCTGGGACATGGTCATGATACAGGTAGATGAAATGAACTCCAAGTTCATCGACATCGAGACGCTCAAAGACAACAACTGGAAGGTGACTGCTGCCGTAGTGACAAAGGTGAGAGGAACTTCCTTTCAACAATTTCATTGGATGTTAATACTTCACTCTAGTACCATGAAGTCATGGATAGCAACAGCTTGTTCATGATAATACTTTTACAAATTTTTCGACCTCTCTCTGTTATGCTTGGTAAATGTTACATGTAGGTCATGCAATTTTTGTTACTTTTCACTTGCTTTAGATCTTTTGTCTTTTTATCTCTTCATGGAAGAGCCATACAATTTTTACTGGATAAACAGTGTAATAAACTCTATTTTGGTATCAACATGTAACTCAGAACACGATACATTATTTTTGAGCTGGTAGTAGGCCTATATATATCAAAGGACACCTCACCCCAAAGAGTATGTGTAGGTATGCTGAAAGATGAGATTTATTCCTGCCTATTGATGTACAATCATGCACCAAGCTGTAGTTGGAAAGACCTTTTAAATACAATTGTGTTTGGTGGAAGACATATAGCAGGGGAACAATTTTGTTTTAAATACTAAAACATGGAATCTGATATAAAGGTAAAAAGCCCTGAACTAAACAACTTCCTGGTGTAAAACATCCATTTTTACTACTCTTTATAGAATTATGCATAGTTTGGGAGTTTGCAATGGTATTTTGGAGAAAACCTTGATTGTTTTGATTTTAAATGCCACCGATATTCCAACAAATCCTATTGTGACGTGGAAGTAGGGATCTTGTGTAACCTTTTCTGCTCTAACAACCCTGAATGGTTCTTAGCAGCCCTTATCCTATGTATGAGGTAGGATTTACTCACTTTGTGGAATTCCATTGGTTATTTGATCAGTCTGCATTCCGAAAGGCCCAATTTGAGGTGAATCCTTTCCAAATTTGTTGCAGGGCAGAAAAGGGTTGTAATTGCGATTAGATGAAAGGATTCTGATTGACTCTGGTTTGTTTGGCTTGTTTGACACATAATTCATAGCTCTGTCATTGAGTCAGTGCATCCAATTTGGGTGAAATCATTGTGATTTGTTATTTCTTTTCTTTGTATTGTGCTCTCACTCGGAAAGCATTTACAGTTTCTTGTGTCAAATCACATCAACCGTTAAATAACAGTTGAGATTTGATGACAGATCATTCTGCAGATGCAGTGCTTTGACATACCGGTAAAGCATTTCTTGCAAACGTTGTGTTCTTTTATAGAGAAAAAATTAAGCAGCTATGCCTTGGATTTTATCTTGGCATGGTGTCCGGAAGCAGGATCGGAAATACTTAAATGACACTTAATACCAGGAAAGAATTTGGCTGTGCAAGAAATATATATCTGAACATGAACACATAGACAAATGTAAATGTGATGTACAGGGTATACTGCAGCTGGCTTGATTTTAAAGTAGAGTAATGATTGAGCTTGACTACGGTATTGTACTTGAACCTAAATTTACCTTGTGCAGTACTAGCAGCAGCATATCAACTAAGTATAATATCAAGGCCAAAATCATTGTATGCTCATATAGGCATACATCTGCGGACAAGATGCCCTGTGGTAATGTGAGCTAGTCTGTATATTTAGACCCAATGATGTGGAGTGAAAACTGAAATGGCATTTTATTTTTGGAAAGCAGTCTTTGGTATTATAAAGAAGACATGTCACATAACCAAGTTGGATATTTAGTTCTAGTTGTGATAGGGTTTCACTGAGGAAATTGTCTGTCATTTTCATTCTATGATAATGTTCAGCCTGACATAAAGGCATGTAGAGTAGTATAGATTTGTTCAGGGGAGCCAGCATCATGAAATGGCACTTGTTAGATGTACATTCATATCCATTGAAAATAGGACAAGTAAAGAGTATCACATAGCATATGAAGGCATTTCTGCCAGGGTTAATACACATCTCAGTTAAGAAGCAACATCATAATAGAATCTCATGCTCTTAATCCATCTTTCACTTTCATAACTTGTTACTTCCTTACCGTTAACTAGCTCAAAAGGTCTGAACTACACCTCGTCTAGACTATTTCAGTCCCATACTATTGAAAAGGAAGTAGTGTTAGCCACGTGCTAGGCAGTATGTGGGACTGTCAAATCAAATTATTGTTGAACTGTGAGTGACCATTATAAACGAGAAACGTTAGACTCCTGGTCATGCTGATTTAGTTTGTATGTAGGCTAACACCATTTGTGGTATGCTAATAAACCAACGTATCCCCATTGCCCTGCTGAAGGTGTCCTCCTGTGAATATATGTATGAGGGAGGGTCTACACATACATGTACACCTGCCTGTACAGTGTGCATCTGTAGCTGTAAAGGCATGATGGTGAGGAAAAATGGACTACCGGTATGATTATCATCGGCTGGAAGAGTAAACCCTACTAATAATATTACCTCGGAGCTCTTAAAGCAACTCTGAAAATATTGATAATATATTTCTCAAAGACTTTCTATTCCAATAAACGTATCTTCAAAAAAATTCTTTAATATTTTTCTACATAGGCCATTGTAGGGGCATCATGGTGTTGTGGTTCATCCATTTGGTATAATAAAAAAAGTTTAGGGTTCAGAACTCTTTTGTCTCTCTCAGTCCTGATGTTAATGTGTACTTGGCAGGATTTATTTCCTGAGATGCATTGTGCATTGATAACGGCTGTCTGAGCTAATGCTAGGGTGGTAGATATCAAAGCCACAATTATAATGTTAAATCGTGATGTTATATTACTGTACCAAAAATGGAAATTATTATCATAACATATAATTCTTATTTGAAAGCATATATCTATAAATTCAAATTTTGATTCAAAATTGAAGAAGCTAACCAAGTTCCAAATATACTATTGTTAATCTTTCTGCTAAGTGAGGAGTTGTATTGGGCTTCTGCCATGTGCCATAGGATACAGCTAAACACGTGGATCTTGGTTTAATATCAACCAAGCCAACCGGTTTATATCACAGGATATTCTATTTACTCGTGCAGACTCTGGCGTATACATCGAGAGGGAATTCTTGCTAATGTTACTATTAAGTCCCTCTGACTATAAATAGCTAGGTGGGGGGAAATAATGATCCACAACGCGATGAACGAGCAAAACAGGAAGTCATAATTTGAAGCGGTTTCTACGATGTATCCCTGCTTGCCCCTGCAGGATTGGGAGAAGGATGAACAAGGATTTGGGAGAAAGCCTCAAAATAGATTCAAGTTCTTAATGTACCCTGGTGCATGTGCCACTGTGCAAGAAGTTGCCCTGGTAAATGCTCATGCCCAGATGAATACTGTTTTGATATCCAACGTCTTATAAGCATTAATATCACAAGACGGGTCACATTTATATCTTAAAAATTGCTGTAAGGTCAATTTCAAGGCTTTAAAGAATCAATCTTTTAGAAAAATAAGCCTTCTCTGGGTATGAACAGTTGATTTACAAAATGAGCATGATCCTTGCGTATGATACATTTTTTAGTAGCCTTAGATGTCAAGCACTTCTAGAGATCTCTTTATCAGAGTGTATAATATTTACATGCATACCGGCATGTCACCATTGCATCATTGAAAATATTCAAGAAATGATCACTGAAATAAAATTACACTTTGCAACATTAATACATTGAGCATTTTCCCCAAGTTGGTAGATCTGTCAGCTACATCTTTTGAATTCTCAGATAACCATTTTTACAGTGATAAAATGTTTGGAAAACACAATTGCCTGCATGGTATGTGTTATAGTTCTATTTAATCTATTATCATAATTTTATTTTACCATTGCTACAAATTCTGAGAGAAGTTATGGCTTCTTGTCCTTTTGTAAACAATTTGTAGGAAAATCACTCAGTGTTTCCTACATGTACATGATACAATTTCTAATGTCAATTCTTACTCCCCAAATGAGGGAATATACAAATGTGAAGTGAAGTGCTGAAAATCAGCATCATGGATGTTTATAGTATGATGTAAAATCGTGCTAATAACACTTGGCGAGAAATTTACACTCTAGGTTATTTATATGTTTGGGTGTGATATTTAGGGCGTGCTTGACATGGTGATGTAGTCACCAATCAAACCACTAGCCTTGACAGTGCATTAGAGAGCTTTCTAATACACAATGCCAATCTATTTAGCCTGGCTTCCAGTAGCGTGGAGGATATTTTGCAAGGATTTAAGTTAGGAAAAACGAAAAACACTAAGGAAATGCCAGAGTTAAAAATAATGAAATGCTATTATGATTTTATTTTTTCTAATTTCAAACCCCTTCCTTTAGCTCTATTATAAAAGCTGTATTATCACTTTAAGATATTTTGTAAACATAACAATCCTGCCTTGCTTTGAAGTCAGGCTACCGGTACTTAGCAGAGGTCACTTACAAGCTCATGGTAGATTACAAGCCATAGCCCATTCCTTAATTATCTGATTCATCTGATTCATCTCATCAGACCCACCTGCCTTGTTCATATCGGGTGTAAGAAGCAGCTTTACAGTCCGTTTAGGGTTACTTTTGAGTAGTGATTTTAATGCCTTCAGTCCTAATATTGAGAAAGACAGTTGGTTGTAGTATTTGTTGTACACAAATTATGATAGTCACTTGAATGTTCTTCTGTAATTTCAAGTTTTAAAAAAGGAAGATATTTTCAGCAAATATGTACTAATGTAGCTCTCATGAAGTATATACAGTCTTCTGCATTTCAGAAAAGTAAAAAGATAGTGGCTGTCTCCATTTTTCAGTGAAGTGGATTATTTTCATTACCATTACATATTCAATGATATTTTCAGAGCAATTTTTAATTGTAGAAGAGTCAAAATGGACTTTGGTTTTATGCTGGAGTCATTATCTCTTGGCATTAATTAATTTCTGAGAAATGATCAAGGATATCACATGGATATCACATGGATATCATTATTCATGGGCAGACCTCTAGGAAAAGGAAACTCTGGAAGGTCTGTGGTTTTTCATGTAATACTGGACTGCTCTACATTTGCAGGCAGTGTACTGAAAGAGAAACCTGCGGAACTACATGTAGATGTCGGGATTCAAGTACATTTCAACTCCAC